TATTTTTGCTGATGATATCATCGGTGGTACAATTTTCCCAAAAGGAGCCGTCAATTGACTTGGTATATCTTCCTCCCTTCTGCTTGTTATGATCATTCAGCTAAAATTTGGGGGTCAACAGAGGTGAGGCAAAGAACCTCACACTGTAAGATCTCATTAACACTCTGTAAGCCCTTGGAGAGCAGTGCTGGCCAGGGCCCTTGTAGCTGTGATGGGAAATCTGTGCCGGGGGGGAATGTGTGTTGATTCCATTCAGGGCGAATTCCTGCCCCTTCACAGTGGAAGGGATCTAATGTGGTCCACTTGCCCCAAAGTGGTTACTTAGGATCCTTGAAGGATCGCACCACATGGGAAGCTCAGCACTGTTTTTGGCTGGCAGGTTGAGTAGCTAGATGCCTTGGGAAATGGGCCCATATTGTCAGGACCATGCGCATTCTTCATCCCTGCCACCATGGCCACTGTTTTCACCTCCGTTGTGACAGTATGAGGGCTGATTTTAGGGGCTGAGTTTACCTGGCTGTGCCATTTTCTTTATGTGGTTGTTTCATGTCACTTCCATGGTGGATGCTGTTTGGTGGCACTGAGATGTATCATAAGGATATTTAAACTCCTTTCCATTCCCATAGGTCCATCCGGATGCCTCTTCCCCAGACCTCCTTTTCCTCTGTCCTCCAGTGTTCTCTTTCCAGGCCTCTCCCCAGTCAGGCAAATTGTTAGCCAATGCCCATATTCTTGCCTTGGGCTGTTTCTCTACCCACACAAAATGGGTGACTAGTCATACCCCCTGAAGCTCTGGACACCAGGAAAACTTCCTCTCACTACTGTCTTTCAGGGCAACATCTGAATGGGACTGATTCAGCCAGAAGTCCATTTTTGGCTCAGATACACATGATGAGCCAAACTCATGTGAGACCAAACTTAGCCTTTTCCTACTCCGTCACTGGTCATCAGGTAAACTCACTCCCCACTTGTCCAGGCTTTGAGTTGGGGAAGGGTTTCAGTGCAACCAGGGTGAATGATGGAGATTTGGGCTAGCTGCTTGCATAGCTTCTTTGTGCCCTCTGATATCACTAGTCACCCTGTGTCCTTCCTTACCTAATAGTTTCTGGATTGTCTGACCTGATGGCTTTGTGATTATGATGGAATCCAGCTCAGGATGAGACTCTGGCTGTACCACTGTGGATATCCATGGTTGCATGCTCCATCTCTACTAGTGTATAAGAATTTGTTTTTGGAATGGTGTGCTGTTATTTGGTGTAACCAAACAGCATAAATTTGCCACAAAATACTGGGGGTTCTGTGCTGTAATTTTTCTTATTTGTCCTTGTAATAAACCCTATACATTGTCTTTTTCTTCTGCAGGTACCTCTGGAACCATGGGGTCTGCTCTATGGTATGGCTCAATGGCAGAGCTCCTTACCCCACAGGTTGGACTTGCTGGTCTAAATCCTACTGTAAGCTGGCATCTGTCTTGGTCAACCACATCAATATGTCAGAGCACCACCTTCAACATACAAGGAACACTCAAGTGGAAATCCCATCATATTTCCATGTAATTCACCCATCTAATCCCTACGAAAACTATATTGATCCCAGACAATGGCAGTGGGTTACTACAGACTTCAGCCAGCAGGGTAACAATGGGCCACAGAAATATGAGACTTCCCTCAGGCCCTGAAGAGAGCATTTCTTTCCTAGTGAGAGGACTTGGGGGATGTAGTGATTTGACTTGGGGGAAGATGTTCCCATGTTACTGTACCAATGTGGCTATTCCAATGTGGCTTCCTGAATATTTTTGGATTTATTTCCCACCTTCAGAACTGCATGTTTTACTGAAAGCTTCCATGCAATTGCTACAATTGCCACTGCTCGCTCATTTAGTTCAATTACCAGGAGTCCCGTGTGATTTTCTGAGGAATGTTCAGAAGCTCCATATTCCTCCAGACTTATATTATATTGTAGAGTGGGAGAGTTAATTTAGACAATAAATGCGTATCCTTGCCCATCTTGCATAAATATAAACTGCTTTTTGATATAGCTTCTTCAAAAGTACGAGAGAAGCACCCTTTAGCTAGATCAGTGGCTGCAGACCATGTGCCTGAGGCTGTGCTCTGTCAGGGGTGCCACATTCAAAACAGCAGTGACAACTGGGGATACTGCTGGCCTAAGATTAGGAAACCATGGTCATTGTTTAGGACTGATATGGTGTTTCTGTAGGGGTCATATGGGTAAATTAAGTAGGAATATTAGGGGGCTACCACCTCTGTTTTCTTTGCATATTGAGGGTGGCACTAATGCAAATTATTCCCCCAGGAGGTGATATGGTTTTTAATTTACCCTCTTGGATGGCATGAGACAGGGAGAGGTGGGAGGCTTCTACCTGGTTTTTCACATTCAATAGCTTTTACTCACAGGCCAAGGAACTAAGCTGAAAATCATGCCAACCACCAAGTTTGTTCATTTTAATTGAACATTTGGAGACCGGGGATATGACCACTAGGAGAGCTTGTGGATGCAAGAGATCCTCCATGATTGGAGCTGGGGCAGAACTCCATTTTTACCTGCCTGTCCCTGCATGTCTTCATGCTAGAGATGGGCCACAACGACATTTCAGATTCCTGCCCTTCAATAACAGGTTGGGCTCTATCTCCAAATGTGTGCAGAATTTCTAAGAATTCTTTTTCCCCCAGTGTATGGCTATAAAATAAATGGCCATAGGACACTCTGAAGGTAGAGCTAAAGTTGTCATTTTATACCTAAGTGAGGTTGTAGGGCCTTTCTTCATGGGATATTTACCTCTCATCTAGTCAATAGGTTCTGAGTAGGAGAATTACTTCTGCCCGGGAAGTGGGCACGCACTTGTGGTTTTACAGGGCATCTGCCCTCAGCCTCCTGATCTTCTATTCTTGATTCCTATACATTACTATTCTCCTTGGGTGTCCATCTGTTCTGCCTCCAGGAACCATGGTTGATTTGATGAAGGCAGTCATATTCTGTGGGTCAGGCCCCTGGCTGACACACTAACCTCACTGCTTATGACGATACTTGTGATGACAGTTGACCCTCTGTCTCATGGGTTCTACGGCTGCGCATTCAACCATCTGCAGATGGAAAATATTCAAGAAAAGAAATTGCACCTGTGCTGAACAGGTACTGATGTTCTTCTTGTCAATAAAGTTTATATAGCGTTTATATTGTATTAAGTATTATAAGTAATCTAGAGATGATTTAAAGTATATGGGAGGATGTATAGGGCTTATATGAAAATACTGTGTCATTTTATATAGGGGACTTGAGTATCCACAAATTTTGGTATCCATGGGGGGTGTTCCTGGAATCAATGCCCCCCAGATACTGAGGGATGACTGTGCTTTGCATTTGATAGTTCAACATTGCTACATGGTTTCTATTATTTCCAGTCTCAATAAGCCCCCATATTGGGAGTGTCTGTAGTGACATCACCTGTAACCCACAGAGGAGGATTGACTCTCAGCATCCCACCAAATCTGATGCCCTGCCACACATACCCATTTTTACTGCTTTGATAAATGAGGAATCCCTGGATCCTCATCTCTAACCCCTTTGGCTGATGTTTTTTTTCCCCTTAAATATTATATTAGTTGTCCATTGTGGTATAAATAAATTACCATGAAATTAGCAACAGGTAGACAATATACAGTTATTACTTCACAGTATTTGGAGGAGTCTGCACATGGCTTAATTGGGTCCTCTGGGCTCTCACAAGACTGCAACCAGAGGGTCGACCAGGGTGTGTTCCTGTCTGGATTTGGGTTCTCTTCCATTCTCATGTGGAAGTTGGCAGAATTTAGTGCTTTGTGGTTATAGGACTGAGGTCCCTGATGGTCAGTGGGGTCCACTATCATTTCCTAGAGGCAGCCTGCAGCCCTTGTTGCATGGCCCTCTCATAATATGGCTTAGCACTTCAAGCCAGCAGAATCCTCTCTCTCTGCAGGATGTGAAGCTGGATATTTTACACTGTGACGTAATCACAGGGCTGGTGGACAGACCTGTCCACACAGCATGCATAGGACTTGGTGATGAGAGTCTTAGAACACACCTGGACATTTCAGTGAATGCTGGCTGCTGTGGAAGCTGGTTATTGGTTACTCTACAGTCAAACAGCCTTTTGCAAAGCGCCTATCGACCCAGATGAGTAGAGTGACCTTCTCAATCCTCCCAAAGTTAGTAGATAACTAGTACCATTATAGAGGTAGAGGGAGAAGTTAATTCATTACAATACAGTGGGAGCCTTAGGGCTTGAAAGGTAATTTTCTTTCAGAAACCTGATTGAAAATGAATCTGAGTAGAGATATTCCTCTTAAATTACTGAACATCCATTTATTAATGTATTGCTCATTCAATCACTTTAACCTATTCATTACTTCATTTAATAAGTAGTTATGCTCGGCAGTAGATATTCCATATCATAGGCATGATATTTTAGAGAGTGACTTGAATCATCATTGTCAGGTGATACTACAAATGATGAAATGGAGAAATTCAGACAGGTTGAGTAATATGCTTGAAGCTCTTGGCACTTTCTTAAGACAGAGTCCCAGAGAAGGTCAAGTGTGGAAGGACAGGAATATGTGATTAATCCCACTTTGAATTTTATTCACATATGCCTTGTATTAATTTTCTCTGCCCACAGTCCAAAGCAAGGAGATATAGCCTTTCCTTCTGCCCATTTTGCTCTAGAAAGCTGTATGCCACTGGGTGCTTTTGAACTCGAAGTTCTCATAGTCCTGGCTTTGATTCATTTTGAGCCAAGGGAGCAATTTGGATCCTAGAAGTTCCTCTTCCAGCTGTAATTCAAAGTACAGGAGTGCAAACGCTCCTAGACTCTGCGAAGGGGAAACCTGAGCAGGAGCAATCTGTGAGCCTGCCTTCACTCCCCAAGCGTGAAACCACGGCTTTACCCACCTTAATCGTAAGCAGAGGAGCCATTGTTGAGAGATGTCAATTGGGACTCTCCGCAGGCTTGGAAGCTTGATCTGAAACTACATCGCCTTCTCTCTCTGCCCCAGTCCGGGTGCAAGCTTAATTGCACTGAGTTATGCACTCTTTGTTGCCAGTACAGTGCTGGGAGAAAACTGATTGTGTTTTTACCAACATGCAGGTCAAATTCAATCTGTTTACTTCATGTCTGTGTGCCGCCAATTCCTGATCTTGTGATCCAGTCAAGAGCATCACACTATCCTTTCCACAAAGGTGGATTTCCCTGGCATTTGGCTACTGGTCTCACGCCAGGGATTAACTTGGGTCCCAAGGAAATGGTTCTCATACTCAGTACAGGAGTTGTTTCCATAGCAACCACACACACTCCAAATTTGCTACCTGTTGATGTCAGCCTAAAGTATTTATGCTGTGGATTTTTATTAATATGTTTAAATCTTAAAGTTCTTGCATTTATATTAGGTAAGAAGTCAAGGTTGTAGGTAAAGCCTAACAGCACTTGGTATTAGGCAGGGGGCTAGTGGGTGGCTCAGGTAAATGGCAGGGTCATGGTTGGAACTGGCCTTACTGATAATTGGAATTGGGTATTGGATAGTGCTCTCTGTTTAGGCTGGCCTGGGCATATTTATTAGAAGTAAAGTTTTCCCCTAATGCTGATGATCCTTATGAATACTGTGGATTTTCCTTTGTAGGGAAGGAGGGGCAACTTGTCTCTAACCATAAATTGTGGGAGAACAGATGAGGTGCTGTTCTTAGCTCAGCTTCTTCTTTTTCCTGGAATTTCAGAGAAAATGGCTCTTCTCTGATCTTCCTGTGTTATTAGAGGCAGGTCTGTGGTTTTTCAGTATCTCCCAGGACTGGGTAGAAAAGTCCGCCTACCTCTAGGGTTCCCAGTGATTCCTGTAATTTCCCACAAACATTGTCTAGTAGCACCTGTTGCTAGTAATAAAGATGGTATTTTGGCCTCCAATGTCTTACCTCTCTCTCAAATAATTATGAACCTCGGCAGGAAAAGCAGTGCCATTTGTGGGTCCCTCTTCAGTCTGGTCATCAATCTTTCCTCCAGCAGGTGTTTATTGTGTGACTCTCAAGTGTTGGATGCAGAAGGAAAAGAGAGGGTTCTTGCCCTCGAAGGGCTCTCTGGTGATAGTTGCCTGCTGGTATATTCCCAGGGCTTTGCATTCTTGATAAATATTTATTGAAAGAAAGAGTGAAATTCTTTCTTCTAGGTGGTAAATGTGCAGCCATTGCTGAGATGTGTCATACAGATCTCTATCAAGGACCCAGGTGCTCTCTCTTCCAATTGCTGGGGGCATTGGCTGCTGGTGGTTCTCAGGTGAGTCTTTCTTCAGGAATTGCTACTGGTGGAATAAAGTCTCAACCAAGATCTTGTCCCTACCCCAAGGGCAGCTTGTGATGTGAATGCAAGACACAAAGGCCTGGCTCCCGTGTCTCCATGTGGGGCAACACTAAATGGCCATCTCAGCTCCAGATCTCCTCATAGGACCAATTGGGGCTTTGTATGACTGTATCACAGTTTAGCTTCTCTCTGCTCAATTCTATGACTTCCAATCCCTCAGGTGTTGGTACCGGGAGCATCTGTTAATAATGCTCCTGCGCATGAATTTCTGTCTCAAACTCTGATCAAGGAACCTGGTTAAGACGTAAATGGAAACTATTGTGGGATAACAGGGGAGGGATTATCAAATTGTCCCTGGGTATTTGGAGAAGCAGAGACAGTACTGGGAGTGGAGGAGAGAACGGGAGGTTTGGTCAAGGCATGGCAGGGCATCTGCCAGAGAAGGAAAGATGCGGCTGGACTGTCTGTGAGAGTGTGGGGCTCCCGAGGCAGGGAACTCATGCCCACTGCGGAATGGAGATGTTTCCCATTTGCCATTGCCCTCAGTGTTCCCTGCCCTCTCAAAAGAGGGGCGAGCAAAAGAGGGAACAGAAGCCCTGTCCCCAGGATGTGGTGGTGGCAGGACTTACCCACAGAGAGAGAAGCAAGTGTGGAGTCAGGGATTTGTGGGCACTGGAGAGGGCAGAATGGAATGTGAGCAGGGATTCCTGGGTGGAGACGACCAGAAGATGGCAGAATGTCAGGACTGACTCTTTGGAGGGCCAGCTGTGTCTGGCTGACTTAGGCAGGGCTTGCCTTAGCCCCTGGGGTTCCCTGACGTAATGCCTGGGCATGAACAGGGTGCAGAGTGGGAGAGGAGCAGCATGCCTGCTGTGGCCAAGTGGGCTCGCCAAAGTGAGCATCTGCTCCTTCTTTGGCAGGTGCCAGGGCAGAGGGATGGAGCCAGTAAGGAGCAAGCTTTCCTGAGGGCAAGAGGGACAAGGAGGGGCAGGGGCTGGAGAAAAGGCCAGGCCCAGGCCTCTGACTTCATTTTCTTGGTGATTGATATAAAACATCAGTTTTGTCTCTTAAGAGTTACATAAAAGAGAAACAAGTAGCTCTAGCTTCCTAGATGGCTGATGGGTTCGATCATGCTTACTGCTTCCACCTAATATAAGACGTGTGAAATTAGAATCCAACCCAAGGCACACTGTGTATCTGGCATATGCCAGGAGCCGTGCTAAGCAGCCTGGCTTTGTTTGCTAGTAGATAGAATAAAAAAGAACGGTTTCTAAAATAATTCTCTTTAATAAGAGAAGAATAAGTAGAAATACTACTATTAATTCGTTGAGTGCACCTGTGTTTTGTTCTGACCCATTTCAGAAGCTTCTGGAAACAAAATCTCAATTGTCCACCAGTGGCCTCAGGGGGTTTCCAAAGAGGAGAATCTAGTCATCAGGTCCATTTGACTCTCATGGGAAACCTCCTCCCCTATCTTTCTAATAATAGAAGGAATATTTTGAACTTCCACCTGGAACTTCTGTTTTCTAACTTGGACTTCAAGCATGGAAAAATGGAGCTATTTATTGCTCCCTGTGAGATACTATCCATGATAAAGGAAATTTGTGGATGTATGGAATAAACATTCAGGCTCGCTCTCTCTCTCTCTCTCTCTCTCTCTCTCTCTCTCTCTCTCTTTCTCTCTTTCTCTCTCCTCTCTCTCTCTCTCTCTCTCTAAATATACATACATACATATATACATACACACACACACATATATATCTCTATAACACACATACATACATATGATAATTTTGAGGTTTGAGTACTCCCA